TGGTGACCTTGGACGCGGGAGCAGGGACGAGATGCCAGCCAGTACATTACGGGTGTATTAATTGTTTTTATAGCTATTTTTGCATTTTAATATTAAATACTGTACATTACGTTTCAATAAAACTACCATTTATTTCTGAGAACATGGAAATGTAATATTTTTGCTGAAATGATGTATGTATTACAGTGGAAAGTGGGATAAAATTGTGACGAAAGCAATGACTTTCTCTTTCTTTCGTTCAAAAGATGTTACCGTAATCGCTTTTCGAATGGTTTTCAGTTGTGGGATTATAAGGCTAATGATAAGATAGATTATTATTGTAATACAGTACGAGTACAACAGTTTTTTAACTGAAAACCATTCAAAAAGCGATTACGGTAAAATCTTTTGAATAACGAAAGAAAGCGAAAGTCATTGTTTTCGTCATGATTTTATCCCACTTTCCACTGTAATACGTTCGTCATTCCAGCAAAAATATTACATTTCTATATTTATTTTTGAGAATACGTATATTCATTCAGTCACAGTTAAGGTAAAATATATTTGTGATGTAATATTTTAATGAAAATACGGTATCGTAGTTTTCTTTTGTTTCAAATTTAATTAACAAAGATTGATGTTTCAAATGTAATGAACAAAAATTTATGTCCAGTATCTATAAATAAACTTTAATAAATGAATACTCTATGTTTTACATCGTCCTGTGCTACCATACCATGGATTTGGCTACTTTGGGCTTGCTATGATGACGCAAGAGATCTGCCCTGGCAGCTGTACCGACACTCACAGCTGGTGGTGCGTTGGTGCATCGTTTCCATTGTTTACTGGTAGTTGCTGGTAAATATTTTTCAACCTAACGAAACTATTACCCGTTTAGAGGTCGACCCTCAATTTTTTGCCAAATAATTTGGTCTTAGAAACTCGAACTACACACAGGTATATACGGTAAATATGTTAAGGGCCGACTGTATTCATTTTTTAAAGTTTATTTATAGTTACTGTACATAAATATTTGTTCATTACATTTGAAACATCATTCTTTGTTAATTAAATTTGAAACAAAAGAAAACTACGATACAGGTACCGTATTTTCATTAAAATATTATATCACAAGTATATTTTACCTTAACTGTGACTGAATGCTGGAAATGACGTACATATTACAGTGGAAAGTGGGATAAAATCATGACGAAAACAATGACTTTCGCTTTCTTTCGTTGTTCAAAAGATTTTACCGTAATTGCTTTTCGAATGGTTTTCAGTTAAAAAACTGTTGTACTGTATTACAATAATATTCTATCCTATCATTAGCCTCATAATCCCACAACTGAAAACCATTCGAAAAGCGATTACGGTAACATCTTTTGAACGAAAGAAAGCGAAAGTCATTGCTTTCGTCACAATTTTATCCCACTTTCCACTATAATACGTACGTCACTTCAGCAAAATATTACATTTCCATATTCTCAGAAATAAATAGTAGTTTTGTTGAAACGTAATGTACAGTATATAATATTAAAATGCAAAAAGAGCTATAAAAACAATTAATACTGTACACCTGTAATGTACTGGCTGGCATCTCCACTCGTCCCTGCTCCCGTCAGTCACCACTCCTCCCCGCTCTATCCCTCCGCCTCGTCAACATCGTCACTACTGTTGTATTACAATAATATTCTATCCTAATTCACTTGAATAAATACTACGATACCATATTTCTGAATATTTTCATTAAAATCCATCAAATTCATTTTCCTTGTCATCGTCTTCAGCACCAAACAGCTCCTCCCAGTCTTCTCCTTGAACACGGCTAGAGGGTACGTGTTTTTCGAATCGTTTTCAATTAAAAAACTGTAACATCACATGTATATTTTACCTAAACTGCGCCTGAATGAATATATTCTCAGAAATAAATAGTAGTTTAGCTGAAACATGATGTATTTCAATGTAAAATAGGATAAAATACATGACGAAAACAAAAGACTTTACCTAACCTTCCGATGTTCAAGAGATGTTACTCGCTTTTTTAATAGTTTTTGGTTAAAATACTGTTATATTACAATGGTATTCTATTCATACTGTGCTTGATATACTACATTCACGGAAATGTAATATTTTTGCTGAAATGACGTACGTATTACAGTGTAAAGTGGGATAAAATCGTGACGAAAACAATGCCTTTCGCTTTCTTTCGTTCAAAGATGTTACCGTGATCGCTTTTCGAATGGTTTTCAGTTAAAAAACTGTTGCATCACAAGTGAATTAGGATAGAATATTATTGTAAAACAACAGTTTTTTTAACTGAAAACCATTCGAAAAGCGATTACGGTACCATCTTTTGAACGAAAGAAAGCGAAAGTCATTGCATTCGTCACTTTCCACTGTAATACGGACGTCATTTCAGCCAAAATATTACATTTCCATATTCTCAGAAATAAATAGTAGTTTTGCTGAAACATAATGTATTTCAATGTAAATTAGGATAAACTACATGAAAACAAAAGACTTTACCTAACCTTCCGATGTTCAAGATATGTTACTCGTTTTTTTAATAGTTTTCGGTTAAAATACTGTTATATTAGTGATATTCTATTCATACTGTGCTTGATATAATACATTCACGGAAATGTAATATTTTTGCAACTACAATGCTGATGTCAACACAAGCTTGGTTACAGCGAGACTGACTGAGTGAGGGCGAGCTATGCGTGTGTGTGTGTGTGAGGTAGCGGGAGCGGGCGGTGTGCAGTGTTCGGTGCCGCGTGCGATTTGAATGTACGTACTTCAATTCCTTCAATGTACAGAATATTCCTCCGGCGGGGCAATCCGCGTATTTGCGAATCCGTGAATGCTAAACCCGCGTATGTGAAGGGCAGACTGTCTATATGTATATATATATATGTGTATACGTATATATATATACATACCGTATATATATATATATATATATATATATATATATATATATATATATATATATATATATATATATATATATATATATATATATATATATATATATATATATATATATATATATACACACACACACACTGACCCCTCCGTTAACGAACTCAATCCGTTCCAGAAGGTTGTTCGTTAACCGAAAAGTTCGTTAACCGAAACCATTGTTTCAATGGGTTTTTGGGTAATTGGTTCCAGCTCACCGAAAATTTCCTAAATTCATCAAAAATGGTAGTAAAGTTCACTTACTTTGAGGTGTGTATGTAGAAGGCTCCTGGATGATGATGATGATGATGGGATTTAGAATGGGGGTGGAGGAGAAGGAAGAAGAGAAGGCATTGGGGTGGAAGAAAAGTCACCCCATGGCGCTATTTCACCCAAAAAATTTTAGCTCTCTTGGTGTAATTCAAGATTATTTTGTTTAAATATACACTGCACTGCATTATATAGTCAATATGTAAAATATATTTCAAAATGACCAATAATTTGCTTGGAAACACAGAAAAAAAGCATTTAGTTGAAGAGAGTCTCAAGCAAGATGTTACCTCCAGTGAAAACAGAGAGACAAACTCCTGTTTGCTGTGTTAAGAGGCTGGATGCCGCGCATTAAACTAGTCACTTTACCTTCAATTATGTTAAATAATTGTCAAAATGACTAAAAAATTGAATATTAAACTTTTAAAATTATTGAATAGTATAAACTTCTTGATATTTACTAAAATAGTAAGGAATTTAAGCCCTAGAACCGATTAATGTATTGGCGGACTGATACTAAAGCTGGTTGCCCGGTCAGTGCAAGCGAAAACATGTTGAGGTCGGTTTGTAAGAACTTCGTTAAGCGAAATTTTTTTCGTTAAACGAATTGAAGATCCTTATGGAAGGCAGTTCGTTAATCGAAATTACGTTAACCGAGGTGTTCGTTAAACGAGGGGTGTGTATATATATATATATATATATATATATATATATATATATATATATATATATATATATATATATATATATATATATATATATATATATATATATATATATATATATATATATATATATATATATATATATATATATATATATATATATATATATATATATATAAGGACTAGGCTATGATATAATGGGATTTTTAAATATTGTTTTGTCAGTATGGTATGCATATAGCATGTGTTCCGACTTACGTACAAATTTGTAACCCGGGGACCCCTTGTATAGTACAGTAAGTACTGTACAGTATATATAAATATGAGCTTAGAAAGGCAGCTACAAACTAGACTACAGTACAGTACTTACACTTTACTGACTAAATTCACTATGAGATGCTCCGAGATTCCTCTGCCAGCATCTTAGCTTATTCCTCTCCCCCAAAAAATCATAACTTTAAAAATATGTAATTTAATCATTTGTAATTTGGATTAGACCTTTACTGTACAGTACTTGAAAAGTGATTGTGGGTCATGTACTCCATGTACCCATTGATCTACCCTAAACAAAAGTAGGAGAGGCATAATGATAACAGATACACAATACAAATGCTATGTAGAATTGGATTCTGTATTTTAAATGAATACAGTACTGTGCCATTTTAGATTATAATGTTCTAGCTGCATTGCATCTGAACTTTGCAGAAAAAAAAAGACGGTGGATATGCAGCACAGTACCTGTCCTGCATGTTCGAAGTTGTAATTTTTCCCCCAACAATATGCAGTAGCTATACATTACAGGTTTTTTTTTGTATATATGCAGTATTGTACTGAACCAAAAGAGTAAATTACCTGTACAATAATTTCAAAATTTTCTTCCATGTACAGTAGAAAAAAAGTAGAATTTCTTGTTTATTTTACTTATTAATTTATTCATTTTATATACAAGTACTGTACTGTATTTATATTTTTGTAACCATGATGCTTGGCAATCACAGCACTGTATGTCCTAACAACATTAAAGCTTTAGCACTGTATTTTATAACTGTATCATTGTCATGGGCAAGGTAATTCACTTAAAACTGTAAAATTAATTAGCTAATATGATCCTTCATACAGAGGTGGAATGCACAAGTGTAGCAGAAGTAGACAGGCACCTGGAGATGGGCGTGCAGATGCTAGCCAAGGGTCAGCTTCATGACGCTCTGTCACACTTCCATGCTGCAATAGGTGAGTATAGGGTATTTGAAAATTGGTATCATCTTATGAGGAATTAATGCATTGTGAAAGTTAAAATTCGTTTAATTCACTGAAAATTAATGAAAGATGAATAGTACTGGATTTCATTTTTGTCTTCATGTTTGTTTCCACCTGATCGATAACTTTGTGATTCAACATTTTTTCCTCCATTTTTTCAGGATAATTTATATACACAGTATTTTTTCACACTTGGATATCCTTTCTGGTTACCTTTGATCCCTAAGCTTTTTTGCTTGCTTCTAAAGTTTTGAACTGTGCAGATAATTAAAATAAACTTATTATTGTACTGTACTAGGTTATGCTATAACGAATTTAATTGGTTCTAGAACCTTGATCGTTATAGCATTCGTTCATTATAGGATTAAACCGTTCCAGGCCCCCAAATACAACCACTTAACACTGAAAAATATACTGTAATATAAAATTGTAAAAATTTAAAAAAGTGCATAAATATGCATCTAAACTCCTGAAATAAAGAATATCATTAATACTTGTAATAAAAAACAATAAATTAGTAAGAAAAAAATAAAATAAAATAAAATAAATACTGTTCGTTGTAGGAGTTTCGTTCGTTATAGCATTCTCAATTTTATAGGTAAAACTGTTCGTTATAGGAATATTCGTAGTAGAATCCGTTCGTTATAGCATACCGCACTGTATACTGTATAGTGAAACTTTGCTGGTCCAAACCAGTACTTCAGTTAATCTTCTGTAGTTCTGGCCTGGCATGACCATGTGGCATCAGTTAGTGTTTGTCCATGAAGTGGTATTGAAGTCTGAGGAATTGTCTTGCAAACTTTATATTTTTTTGTAAGCTTTAGCACCTTATAAGGTGGTTAAAATGGATCCAAACATAGAAAAGAATAAAGGAAACATGTATCCTTGATTGTTTCAGAAAAGTTCCAAATACCTGAACAGTACAATACAGCGTAGAGTATTAGATAAACGTGAAAGTGGTGTGGCTGGAGCAAGAATCATGGAGTTGTCCATATCTAGGGTTGACAGAGTCTTGATTTAAATATGGGACACTATTTTTGGAGGGGGTGAGAAAGATAAAAAGATGAGTGCTAATTTTTAATTGGAGAATGAATAATATTAAATAAACGTTAGTTTAAAGTAAAGATCATAAACCGTCTTTTAATTGTTTTAAAATTATATTTAGGTCTGGACTAACTTCTTTTATATTCCTGGAAAGAGCGTTATAGCACCAATAAATGTGTGTAACAATTATCCCAATGTACTACAGTGCTCAAAATCCCCACGCTTACAGCAAGGACAAAAGTCAAATTGTCTGATCTTTAAAATACAAACGGGTGACAATTGCTGGCTTCCAATCCACACCCCTAGACACGACAGTCCAACTCTGGGGAACCTTTGTTTCTTTGCAGTACTTAACAATTATTTTATTCTATATGTCCTGGATTATTTTACAGGAGGTAAAATCAAATATAAAGATTGGAATAAATTTGTTTACGTATTTGCATGTTTTAAGTGAGGAAATGGGATACATGTACAGTGCAGTACAGTGCATCAAAATATCCAGAGTCCCACAGTAATGAGTTTTAAGGAAAGGAAGATCAGATACAATAAGAATTAATGTATTGGTTAGAAACTTGCCATTATGATTAACAGTTAATTTATATGCAAACATTATCCTTATTGTAACTTTTACAGATGGCGACCCCTCCAACTATCTGAGTTATTATCGCCGTGCAACGGTATACCTGGCTCTTGGTCGATCACGGCCAGGGCTCCAAGATTTAGATGAAGTCGTCACACTAAAGCCTGACTTTACAGCTGCACGAGCTCAGCGGTCTGGTGTCTTACTCAAATTAGGCAGACTTGAAGAAGCACATATAGACTTGGAGAATGTGGTAAGCAAATTAACATTGGTAGATAATTGTAGTTGATTGGTAGGTCAGCAAATCCATAAAGTTTTCTACTTGTTGATATGTGAAATAAGTACAGTAATAAATATTGTAAGTAGTTTTTAGTACAGTAATTACATCATTGAATTTGCAACATTGGGTGCTAGGTAATGTAAATGAATAAAAGGGCTTTTTAAGTCATTGAATAAAGCAATATATTTCTGACTAACACTTATTCCTGTATAAATGCAACACATGGTAATTTTTATAAGTGTATAGTGTACAATATATATGTGGTTTAGTGAATGTTGATCTCGGGTTTATGGATGAGCAAGTGAGTGTTGGAATTGTATCAAAGTACAGTAAATGTAACATGTATGGGTGTTGGAAAAAAGGATGGAATTTGATTTAAACATATGTTTGTATTCTAAAAATATTAATAACTGGTATGATTTAGAAAAATTTAATTGCAATTCTCCATGATTAGACATCTTTGCTTACTACATAGTTACACGTACTAAATTTATATTTTTACAGTTACGAAGAGATCCAACCCATGAAGAGGCAAACAGACTATACACAATGATTGAACCACTTAAACGGGAAATCCTGGAGGCATATTCCAGTATAAGAACTAGTCGCCACCAACATGCCATCAGTTTGCTCAAAAACATAATTGAGGTAAGCATAAAGTAGAAAGTGTAGGTTTGTACAGTACAGTATTGTAAAAAAAATATATGAAAGTTTTAAAAAGTTTGTTTTGAAATACCTTTACAGTAAATGATCCATAAATCAGCACCTATGGAGCCAACTTATCAGTAATGAGCCTATATATGTTATGAAATAAAAAAAGTTGTACAGTATTAGGTACAGTAAAGCCTCGAATAACGACAGTAATGTGTCCTCCAATATTGCAGTGTAAGGTGAATCATCGTATCGTGAATCATTAATTACCATTAAAATAAAACAATAATGATGAGATGCATTCCTAAGTGTGACCTTTTCATATCTTTTGTGTGGCTTTTTACCCTCTTTTCCCCTGAAAACAATACAATTAATGAAAATTGCAAACTATATTCTTTAAATAATGTTTTTGAATGCACCTTATACAATATAAATGAATAATAATATGGTCACACAAGAGGAAATGGGACGCCATTGTTTTCGTTTGTGTTTACAGCCGGGAGTCCGGGACGATAGTTCTACATGAGAAAATTAAGAAAATAAGACCCTGGTTGTTGCTGTTGTAAAATTAATGTAAAAAAATGAATATATATATGTTTTAAGTAACACTATTTAATGTTAATACTGGTACATGGAACAATAGAAATAGCTAACCACTGATGGCAAAGAAAAAAAAAGAGATGGATTGGGAACACCAACATATATGTGCGCATTTAAGGATACCGCGTCATTTATCTTTTTAAGAATATGTACAAAAGATTCATTATTGTTTATTACTGAATATGGGGTCTGACTAATTACCCAAATGTAGCTGCAATGAAGTCAAATAATGGCCCTACATGAATAAATCGGACTGCCAATCATTTCTCGACTAGTATTTGGTGTCACAGTCACAAAAAATTGGAAAACTTACTTTAATCTGAGTTAATAGATCGCGTGCATGTACCGAGGGAGCGAGGAATTACCCAAATGTAGTCGCAATGAAGTCAAATGATGGTCCTACAAAGGTAAATCAGGCTGTGAATCACTTCTCGATTATAATTTGGTGTCATAAAGTCACAAAAAATTGGTAAACTTAATTTAAACTGAGTTAATAGATCGCGTGCATGTACTGATAAAACGCTGACCGCCATGTAACTAGGGGAGACAACTGTTGTCGTTTCTCAGTAAATATTTTTTTCTATTCAATTTGTCTTCCTTGAAGTCAATAAGCTAAAAAAAATTGGCTTAAAAAAAGCAGGCTTGAATATTTGTTGTGACTTTTCTACAGCGACTTACGGTGAATTTTATACTAAAAACGTAAGGTGGGTATTAAGCGGCATGTTTCATATTATTATTTAAATCATTATTGAAATGTGTTCACCAACAATAAAACTTCATTTATGTCCCTATTTCATACCTTATTGTTATTTACTATAATTGGCATTGTTCAACTGTTTTGTCACATGCTTGAAACAACCTTAAAAGCAAGATCGGAGTGTTGCACAAGAATATACCAAGAAATTGCTATCCAAGAAGTCTTCCTTGTTAATAATAAATTAGCAAAATATTAAATTAATGACTAAACAGTTAAGGATATATACATGTGTACAAATGCTCATAAGCATATATAGACATTGTTCTCAGGGGTATAATTTCCCTAAAACATCATACATTCTGCTAATCATTTTTAATCCAAGTTAATGTTAATAATCTGACATGCCTATTAGCATAAAGACAAAAACATCAAAGAAAATGGGGCAGTTTTACTCCCGAGATGAAGAAATCGTATGCCTGAGATGCACTCGTTCTGATTTCGGTAAAAACAAAAGAGGTTTGTTGATATTAGTTCATATGTTGAAACTTGACTGTTTGTGTTAGTCTTCCATGATGATAATCTGATCTCAGTGTCTTATATTTAATCCTTGGATTATAATTCCACCCGTATCTTTAATCTTCTTAATCTTTTCACCAATTAATCCCCGGATTTAAAAGGCTCTCCTGCGCCCGGGGGAGAGACTCAAAGTGATCAGCGGATTAAACTATTATTATGGTTGCCTGACATATTATCCCATGTGGTTAAGTTGTTTGTCACTTTGGAGTGAATTAAGTCAGAAACATATACAGTATTAGGTCTGTACAATCCAGCTTGTTCACAAATTCTTATCTGAACGTCAGTACAGATATATCAGTGTTACTTCCAAAACTATGAAATGGCTCCCAGAAAAGTCCGTCAGTATCCTTGTGGTACTTGCAAGAAGAACTGCAAAGAGGAAGACTGGTCTGTCTTTTGTTATCTTTGTCAGTCATGGTTTCATGATCGCTGCCAAAGTTTGACACCTGATCAAATGACGGCCTTACGAGAAATCGAACTGGAATTTCTTTGTACTTCTTGTACATATTTTGGTGGGTCATTCGACTATTGCGCATCGATGACTAGGCTAGGTGCAGCAGCTACCCAAACCAGTCTATCTAAACTGCGGAGTGCAGCGCAACTCGAAGCCATCATTCTGAGGAATGCAGAAAGTCCTAAAAGTGCATCCGATGTTATGTGTGGAGTCAGGTCAATAGACACCGTGGCAGCAAGGCTGCTACGGAAGATGGGTGGGACAGCTGACCCAGGGAAGAAAATATCCCTATTTTATTATTTTCCTGTTTTCCGAGATCTGGTTTCATGGGTCTGTACCTATATTGATAATTTGGCATGCATTACTGTAAACTGAGAACTTGTGACTCATTTTTCATTTCCAATCTCATTAAGTATTTAATGAAAATAAATTGGTTGCTGTGTTTTCATTTGAAGATTTTACCATGTGACAAGTGTGTTGCTTCAAAAGTTTTTTGATGTCCTTTCTATTTATTGTTTGATATTCTTTTTGATATAGGGTAAGAGAACAAAATGAATGTCTGTAATTTGGCTTGCACTTCTTTCCTGACTGAATTGCAGCATTGTCCTTGGGATGCCTCCCTACGTGAATTGCGCGTTGAAGCTTACCAGGCAGTGGGTGATGTGATGAACGCTATTGCAGACATGCGTGTTACCACTAAGCTCATTCAGGATAACACCCAGGGCTTCTTGAGGCTTTCCAAGCTATATTACCAAATTGGAGATGTAGAACAAGGATTGAGGTAAGTTATTACGTATCCGTATATATTTTCTCTCTTAGTATGAAATATGGAAGGCACTCAGCCTTATCTGGTACTGTACTGTACTGAATTTTCAAATAAAAAATTTCTTCATTAGTATGCTTACAGTATTTTCTTGGTATCTTGATCGGTCTGGAATTTTAAGGATTTCTTCCATATTTTATCAAGTCTATACGAGGGAATACGGCCGATTTTTTCTTAACCTACAGTTATTAAAGTCCCTTGTGATCATCATTAAGATTATGAAAGGCTGTTTTTACTTGATCTATTCTTGCATTAATTTATTCTTGCATTAATTTCTCTTTCACACTCATGAATACAATCTACACCTTCCCAAATATGCCAAATTTTCCAATTATGTAAGTTCCCTGTTATGAGGCATTATTTTTTTTATTTTAGGATAATTTACTTGAGTACTCTACAATACTCAAGTAACATTTTTGGGTAGTATTTACTTTTTAAAAAGTACTTAAACGTTTTTGTGCTTTTCCTTTTACTTAAGTATGGTTTTCTAATACGTACTTTTACTCCAATACAGTATAATTGAAAAAGCAAAAATCGTTACTTGTTACATGCAAAATAATAATTTATTTTTTAATTAATTACTGTATTAACCATTGTAAAAGAGTAAAATCGAGTGTAAACACCATATATTCATGTAAAGGTGGTGATTGTGTTCTCTGAAAGCATGAATTTGTTTCTTTATTTCAAATATTTTTCCACTCACATCTTGAAAGTTAATAATTGCAAGCACTTGTATCTTTACAGACATTAAATTCAGCTTTAAAGGGACACAGAATTGGGTATCCTTAATAGTTTTACATGGATTTATTTGTGATATATCAATAATAATCGAATATTGTGTATGAGCTTGTACTGTCAGCAAAAAAAAAGCAAATGTATAGTTTACAAACTAAAAATTTGATTAGAAGTTATGGAAAATATGATTATAGAAAGCATGACTAAAAGTGTATGCACTACAATACTAGAGATGGAGTGTAGGTACTGTACAAGGGATGTAATAAAAGTACAGTCACGAGCAATAGTCGTGCGAAACTCTCTCCCTGCATATTGCAGTTCCATTGCCAATGTGAGATGGAACCTCTCCTTTGCTAAATTCATCAACCAATTTTAGGGGAAACTAGAGCAATATAAACTCCTGCCCGCGTATTGTACATTCCACGGTCGTTGTCAGATTGAATATGTGGGGAGAGTGTCGCACGACTATTACTCGTGACTACAGTGATGTTAAGGGGGATTGAGGGAAAGGAATTCTTATGGGAAGGGCATCACTGAGTAGAATGATTGTAGTGTGGCATTTAGGGGAACTTTTTGAACCATCCAAATGAATAGCAAGTAAATGAGTTAATTGTGTATTGATAGATTGCACAGTTTTAGTATGAATAACTGACATACATCAGACCAGAACAGTGCACTCGTTTTAGAAGAAAAAAAATATTATAAAGGTTTGACTTAAGTAACCATGATGGTTAAGGAAAAATAGATTGAGGTGATGTGGTCTGTGGATGGCCCTCAGCTCTATCTCTGGGCAAGGTGAATACGGACAAGTTTCTTTATGCCATTTGTCTATGTCTGCCCTCCAGTACAGCAAGTCACAGATGTATAGGTACTTGAAGGATGTGTTCCTAGAAAGTATGATGTAAATTTTTTAGCACATTAACCTTATTTAAACCACACTTAACTAAATGTCAGAGACAAAGGTTAAACATATGAGTAAAGGACACAAATAAAAGGTAAAAATAAACAATTAAATGACAGGTACCTACATGTATACTGACCAAAATGAAACTGATATTGCACACACTTTGGTACATGTAATTTCAGAACAGTTCCCGCTCATGGTAAAGGATCTTAGGATCTTTTGATAGATTGGATGCAGCAGCTGGGGGTATGGCATTGCCCCTTGGAATGCATGGATGTTGACAACGGTGCCACATGACGTTTCTAGTACACAGTTTGAATTTTTTATTCTTATTGTAACCAAAATGTCATTATATCAGTCAGGCATGAATTTTCTAGAAATAGGTTCCCCAGTTTGTTTCTGGTGCAAATAGAACCGATTTAAATTTACATTTTGCTGTAATTGGTAACCTGGATGTAAATTAATTGGTGTATATTGTTCGAGAATAAAAGTGATTAGCCAGTGAAGTTGGTGAGCTGTCCAGTCTTTTTGGTTTATTCCTTGACACTGTGTCGTACAGTTTGTTAACCCTGAGTGGTGGCCGTTGTATTGTCAATAGCTTCTACAACTTAATTTGGGTATCAACCCTGCCAAGCCATTGGAAATCCTATATACTGTATAATGCCCAATTTCTTCTATGTAAAAGTCGGTTGGCAATAGGAAGGGCATACAGATGTCATAAAACGTATGGTACTTCAAATTTACCTGATGTTAACCAGGACACCATACCACCAAGTAATCACAGCAAACCCACGCAAACATAAAAAATGGCTGTACAATAGTCGTGATGTTGATGAAAACTAGAGGGATGTAACTTGAGACACCATGCCCCCATAAATACACTAGGAAGTTTGACTTTGTTTCAGATAAGTCTTCTAATAATGTTACCCAAATTAATTTAATTTCTATATCTATTCTTATAAATGTGTCACTAATGCTTTCTGTTTAATTAATTTCTCTTCTCTGCATCAGTGAAATTCGTGAGTGTTTGAAGCTGGATCCTGATCATAAAGAATGTTTCCAGTTTTACAAGAAAATTAAGAAGATTAACAGACTTAATAGTGATGCCCAGGAATACATCAACAATAAACAGTATGAAGAATGTGTCACCTCTGCCAGAAAGGTAATATTTTCAAGATTCTGTTTTTACTGTATATATATATATACAGTAGTACCCCGCTTAACGCAGTCAATTGAACCCACAGGGTACCGTGTTTAGTGAAAACCGCGTTAAGTGAACAACAGAACATATGGGATTAATTCCAATAGAGACTGGCCGGACCCCCAAACTCTACTTTTTCCGACACAATACCTATGTTCTAGTAAAAATAACATCTTAATTTTATGATGGTACATGCACACAATTAATACTTAAGAGAAATAGAGAAATACAGTCGCCAAGTTAATGTCCATTCAAATAATGGACTCAACTCCCTCCCCCTCTTCTCACACTACACTGGCTGGCTCTTCCCTCTCTGAGAAATTTTGGGGGGAAAACCAGGTATAGTAATAAATAATACCTCAAACTAAAGTTAGGATAATATAATTGACATTGCTGGATTCCTTGTAAGACCAGGAACATTTTCAATACAAATGTCATATATTTTGCACAAAAGATAACATATTTACTCAGAGTAAACAGTATATCTAAAATTTGTATGTCTAATGCAAAATCTATGATGTTTATATTCAAAATGATCATCAAATTGTAAGAATTCCAGCAATGTAAATTATATTCTGGCCTGGTAATTTGTATGAATTTTATGAGCTAAAACAAATATCTTAAGTTAATAAAAAAAAAATTTATTCTTCACACGTAACAGATGTGGATTAGGTCCTCCTACCAGATGTGTGGGAAAACCAGAATATTTACCTTTTTAGTAATAAATAATCCTCAAGCGTGTGCAGCATATATATATATATATATATATATATATATATATATATATATATATATATATATATATATATATATATATATATATATATATATATATATATATATATATATATATATATATATATATATATATATATATATATATATATATACAGTAAATCATTGTAGTCTTGTGGATCTGGGTTATGCTGATAACCACAGGAAGAAAACCACAAGTTCCCAAAGTAATTGTTAATTCACTCTTCAGGTGAGTACAGACTGTACTCACTATATATATATATATATATATATATATATATATATATATATATATATATATATAACCCTTGATATAGTTAATTTGACCAAGAATGTAATTTATATATTCGTTTATAGCCAAGTTTTGAGGTAAACAAACGAAAAAATGTCTATAAACTGTTTACCATTTATTATTGACACTTTACACTGGAAAGCGCGGTAGTTTCAAAAAATGTGTATATTTCATTCAAGTCAATTAGGAGGAATATTATTGTATTACAACAGTTTTAACTAAACCATTAGTGATTACGTAATATCTTTTGAACGAAAGAAAGAAGTCATTGTTTTCGTTACTATTTTATCCACTTTCACTGTAAGGACGTATTTAGAAAAATATTACATTTCCGTGAATGTAGTATATCAGCACAGTATGAATAGAATATCATTGTAATATAATAAATTTTAAGCAAAACTATTAAAAAAGAATATAAAGAACATCGAAGTTTAGTAAAGTTCTGTTCGCTATGTATTTTATCCTATTTTATTGAAATACATCATGCTTCGCAAACTACTATTTATTTCCAGAATATATTCATTCAGGCGCAGTTTAGGTAAAATACGGTGATGTAAGTTTTTAACTGAAACTCTGAAAACACGGTACCTGTAGCCCTGTTCAAGGAGAGACTGGGAGAAGCTGTTTATGCTGCAGATGAAAGAAAAAGATTTTGATGGATTTATGAAAATATCAAAATATGGTATCAATATTTATTAATATAGATATTATTGTATTGTTTTTTTTGTGTTGTTTTTGGGTTGTATTGTTATCACAATTTTATCCACTTCACTGTACATTTCAGCAAAATATTCATTTCCGTGAAGGTATTATATCAACAGTATGAATAGAATATCACTAATATCAGTATTTTAACTAAACTATTAAAATCGAAATATATCTTGAACATCGAAGGTTAGAAAGTCTTTTTTTCATGTAGTTTATCCTAATTTCATTGAATACATCGTCAGCAAAACTACATATATTTCTGAGAATTGATGTAATGTTTTGTGAACGCGATATAGTGAAAGGATAAATCGACAAAACAATGACTGCTTTTGTAAAGATGTTATCGACGCTAATGGTTTTCAGTTAAAATTTATATTATAATATTCTATCTACCTGTGATAAAGTTTTAACTAAATTAAAAACGGGTAGCCTTGATGGATCCCTGTGAGGTTGTGATGCCTTCTTACAGCTTTAATTTTGAGATGTTGAATTGTGTTTACCGGTGTATTCTATTTTCTTTATTTTCCAGAAATATGACAAGTTTTATATATTACAATGTTACGGGCTTTAATTTACAAGTATTCATTTTTAAAATACAGAGACACAAACAAATACTGTTGATATTTAAGGATTTCCGCCAAAAAGACCAAACAGCTGTACTTCTTCTCAGCCCTACCAAAAAATAGCAACATCTTCTTTGTTCTTTCATTTCTACTTTAACTGGTATTTTACCATATTGCCTACATCAGATAAACTAGTAATTGAGGTTAGATATTGTTATAAATTTGATTACGGGTCTGGGTCGGTAGAAACAATGACCCTACCAACAGTGTTGCAGTCGACATTTTTTTTTTACATTTTGGTGTCTCCATTTGTTAATTTTTTTTTTTGGGGTTTGCACAATAGTATACTGTTTACCTACAGTATTGTAAAACGATTTGGGAAAAATACTGGTAACTTAAAATTTTAAAGGAAAATTTGAAACTGGCAACTGTGTGTAGATGACTCACATCATATTGATGTTTCAAATTTAATTAACAAAAATTATGTAACAAATTTTTAAAAATGAATACTTATGTTTTACATACTCTGTGCATACCATACCATGCATTTGGTACTGGCTTACAGTGATGACGTAAGAATCTGCCTGCAACTGTACCCACACTCACAGCTGGTGGTGGGTGTATCGTTTCATTGTTTACTGGTAGTTACTGGTAAAATTTTCAACCTAACAAACATTACCTGTAGAGAGTAATTTCAACTTTTTGCCCAAAAATTGGTCTTAAGAACTCGTACATACACGGTATATATATATATATATATATATATATATATATATATATATATATATATATTGTATATGCATATATATATATATATATTTTTTTATGGCATGAGCACAGTTTAAATTAAAGCAGTCATGTCTCTAGGATTCTTTCCTTAGTGCTAAACCAGGTTTGAGTGAAGTCAAATAATTTTTCTCGTATAAGGGGTGATGGCCATTGTATATTCATTTGATAGGATTGTTGTTTTATTTTATTTTATATTTTTCAAAATTGTCCAATGTACTGTACTAAGATTTATATACGGTAATAATTATTCAAGAAATTTTTCTTAAATTTTAAGAGATGGGGACCATTGGTACCCAAATTAGTCACATGATATCATTACTAGCTTGAATAAATTTAATATTTAAAATTTTAATTTCTCTTCTCTTCTCACATTTGCTGTACAGTATCTAAAACTTGTACTGTACAGGGTGTAATGAAGTTTTCTTAAATTATCAGTTTTGAAGGCAATTTGCTCTTGAAATCATTTGAAGATTCTTTTCTACTAATCAGAATTAATTTTGACTAGAGATCTGTCAGTTGAAAATACTTGTGATTAGATAATCTATAATTTACATTACAAAACATTCTAAATATGAAATTGGAATAATTATCTTTCATATAATTTTCAACATACTGTATGTATTACATGAGAGTAAAAGAGGAGAAATTGGACTGTCTGGCTACTGGCTAAGTTACTATGTGTGTGTGATCGATGAGTCTACTTGTCTTCATGTGAGGTTGATGAGTAAGTTATATGCTGATTGTAAGTGAATGATGACATATTGAAAGCTTACTTAGAGACTTAATAACATTGAGCGTGTTTTAGAATAATGCAGTAAGTTAGTGTGCAGGTATTTGCTGAAACTAATAATATAACCAAGCTGATACAAGTCCTTTGGTTTCTTACTTGCTTTCCCTGGACACATAATAGTATTCATTTCATGTGATTATCCATTTTACAGAAGCCTCTTGGTCCCAAACTTTTCAGTTGACAGACACTTTACTGTAGTTAAGTAGCTGCATTCAGAGTAGTTGCCTGTTTCCTGTCAGCTTTCATGTTTCTGCTGTTGTCATACTCAAGCAGGATGATACAGGTGCTTGTGGGTCTCCTGCTTTCTTGGCCAGCTACTTAAGTGAAATAAGATGACAAAAAAATTGCTAGAGGCATGTGTAATTATATCTTAAGTAATTTTAGCTTAATTTGGACCACTAAAATGCAAGTGTATATTTACCATTAAAGATTTGGAAAATGCCACAAAATATATGGTAGGTGTGAGGTACACAAAATGTGGCAATATATGTGTGATTTGCAATATAAGGGATTATAATGGAAATCTTGTTTTTAAATCAGTTAAATACCAATATTCCAGATAACAAAAGAAGAAAAGGAAGTGGAGGATGTACAGTTCCTAGCATTTGATAAACTGTGTCAGTGTCAAGTTCATACAGAACCAAATGAGGCAGTTAAATTCTGTCAAAAAGCACTGAACATTAAGGAAGAAGCTAGACTGTATTGTGAAATGGCTGAGGCACATATTGCTGATGAGATGTTTGATGAAGGTAAGTGTTTTACGTACTCTGAAAAAATAATGATACAATTTGTGCCAGAACATTGTCTGAAGATATAAATGTTAAGTTTGAAGGAACATAGAATGGATGAAGTAGTGGACCACAGAACAGTGGAAGAAAAAATAACAGGTGGATTGAGAATTATATGGAGAGAAAGAACTGTATCATAGGAGCAGTGTTGGTGATGGACAAAGGAATTATGGAGTTGATATTTTTATAAGGTTTAAAGCATGGACTTTGTATGCATGAGGAAGATGCACAGTAAAGGCAACAGCATTGACATTTTCAAGAACATTTTGTGGGGAAAATAGGATTCAGAGAATAAGAGATACAGAAATGAGGAGATATGAAAGTGAAAGAAATATCAGGAAAACAGATTAGGGTCTACTCTCATGGTATGCCATGTACAGTCACCTGCACTTATACCTGGTACAGTGGGTGGTTCATATGTGAGATGTAGCAAATCTCTGTTTGTTTACATTGTATTTAAACAGTGGGAATGGCCCCAAGGAACCTCACAATTGTAGCTAGATTAAGGATACTAAATAAGCATCTCACAAAGTTGCTACATCTCACAAAGCACTCCAGCTACTGTACCAGGTATAAGTGCAGGTGACTGTACATATAAAGAGAATGGGAAGTGAAAGTTAAGTATGAAGAAGGTGTAATTCAGAGGTGAAACAATGGGATGAAGGACACATTGAAACTGAGGAGTATGACTTATCAATAGCAATGCCAGTAAGTATTGAAGAGTGTGACATAAATTTGGTGACATTAAACGAGGACCCACGTATATACAAACACACACACGTACATATGAACATGCACACACACCTATGCATGATCATGCACACACACCTACGCATGATCATGCACACACACCTACACATGATCATGCACACACACCTACACATGATCATGCACACACACCTACACATGAACACACACACACACACACACACACGAGTAAAGCACTGTATAAATGTAGTCACATTAGATTAAAGTTTTTTATTATTATTATTATTATTATTATTATTATTATTATTAATTCTTTGTTTATTTTTTCTTGCAGCGGTAAATGATTTCCAAAAAGCATTGAATATTGATGAAAACTTGCAAAGAGCAAAGGAGGGTTTGGAGAAGGCACAGAAACTCAAGAAACAAGCTAGCAAAAGAGACTACTACAAGATCCTTGGAGTGAAACGGACAGCAAACAAAAGAGAAATTACTAAAGCTTATAGGTAATATGTTCATTGATCTCTGTTTATAACTAGGTACAGTATAGAATAATTAAGAATACTTTTTTCTTTTGTTGGAAGTTGATTGTCTGTCTCGAGAAAATATTTACTACCACAGGATACAGTGATCCCCTGATTGATCTAGTGGTTTTTTTTTTTTTTTTGCGGGGAATAACCCACCCGGGCACAGGTCATCGACCCACAACGGGGCCTAGGGGGCATAAAAATAAATACAAAATTTAAAAGAAAAAGTTTATATTAATCTACACCACGAAGATGCCGGAAAACCAGCTTTTTCAAGTGAGATTGTATGAGTATGGAAACACAGAAGAAGGCAGAGCATTACACAGTTTGGCTGTGTGAGGAAAGAAGGATGCACTATAATGGGTTATTCTAGTGTGACCGACATCCACAGAGAAACGGTGGGTACCGAGAGCAAGACGTGTGTTACGAGTCCACGGCCTTACTGGCGGTACACGGGATGCCAAATCCACCGAACATTGCCCGTTAAAATACCTGTAAAAGAGAGAGAGTGAAGCAACATTGCGGCGAAGAGAAAGGGAAGAAAGATTGTTGACTAAAGGAGGAGAGTTAATAAGACGAAATGTACTGTACTCACTGATGAAACTTTTTTTCTTTTTATGGGCATTAGCCCATCCGGTCACAGGTCACTGACCCACATCGGGGCCTAGGGGTGGGGGGGGCTAAAATATAATAATAATAATAATTAAGAACCATAAATAAATACAAAACTGAAAAAAAAAATTAAAGAGTGAGAAATGATATACTGTATGTATGTTTTGTTGTCAAAGTAAGAGAAACAATTAGACCCTGCAATTGTGTTTAAATGAGTCAAAAGGTCAGATCAGCAACCTGGGAATTGGTCAAAATTTTTGTGATGCTGTATGACAGCAGGGTCTACAACACATTATGCTTCCAATATCTTCTCAGGCGGTAGTACCTCCCTGTTTGATAGCTGCCCACTACCTCTTACCTATAGATGACATGACGATGATGATGGTGGGTGATATTGGAAGGGAATTAGGTGGATGTGGGGTCGTGCTCCAGTTTTTCCATGTTAGTATCAAGGGGTTTGAAAAGTTACTTAGTGCTTTTTTGGACATTTGCAGACACTTGATTGAATATTTGCCTCACTTTTCCTGATTGAGCACACAGTTGATTCGCTAACACCATAATGGTGCCCCTCAGCCGCTACATTATTACCCCTAGCAAGGCGACCAAGCAACTCCACTTAGGAGGCAATACTAAAGACAAAGTCACCATAAAGAGTAAGAATAGCCGAGCGAATAGTTGAGCTCCAGGTGTTACAGTGACAGAAGCTGGAGACTGAGAAAGCGTGCTGTGATGCACGATGTCCAGCACGGTATGGTCGTGTACAGTAAACACAAAACACAAGCATCCCAGGGGACCACGGAACTACAGGAAAGCAAAACTACAAATTGTGAATAAGCAAATCTGATGCCTGTGAATGGTGAGCTGGTGTACAATGGTTGTACCCATGAATAATTAAATCTGTGAAAGTTAAATCCACGACTGTTGAGGGTTTACTGTCGTACAAATATCTCCTTGGCATTGTTAATTATGAGATTTTATGGGCTACATCATTTGTCCTCTTGTGGTATAAATAACTAAAGCTTTTGAGGATCTTTTTTCTCTAATCACTGTCTATGGTAACTCCCAGAATTTTTTTTAACCCTTTACTCAGTCCCAAGATGTGATGGCAAGGCAGAAGTACATTTATTTTGAAAAGCACCTAACTGTTCCAAGTGACCAAGTATCTGGTGGGTATTTTTTTCAGATGTATACTGCTTGGGCTATTCAAATTTGATAGTTTACAGGCAGTGGAGAAGGTCAAATTTTCTGGTCAAAGCTTCAAATTTGTGCAATGTTTTTTTTTTCATACAGTAGACCCTTACCAACCACAGATTTTTTTATCTGCAGATTCCAGGAGTCCATGATTTTTACTATGTGTACCATTTCACCAACCATAGCATTGAATATTGAGTATCTGCGGATAAGTGTGGCATTTTTATCCCTTCATGGTCTTATGTATTCTTTAAATGTGAGGAATGAATGAAAATACCTGTAATGCTGATTAAAAAGAAATTACTGCATTGCCATTTGACAATCATTTCACTAAGGACACAGGAGCGCGCTCTCCTCTTCCCCTCTCATGAGCATGGGCTAACTCCCGCCAACGTAAGAAGTGTTTATTCTCTATGTTTTTACCTTATTTTTTATTTTATTTTTTTCATTCTGTATGAACGAGTGTGTGTGTGCATGAAACAATAAAAAAATAAGATAAATAAAATAAAATTACATATATCTACCTGAAACTAAAAGTTGAAAAAGAACAATAACACAGCTTTTAGGCCTAGTAGGGAGAGGCTGAGATTCCTGACAACCCATCCCTCTCTCGCCCCCCCTTTCTCCTCCTACAATCCAACACTAACTCCCGTGGATATAAGAAATGTGTATGCTCTTTATGTTTTGTTCTCAGGATAATAATTTTTTTTTTTACTATTCTGTATGAACGATTGTGTGTGCACGTAACAGTTAAAAAAATAATAAAAAATAAAATTACATAGATCTACCTGAATATAAAATTTTTTAAATAACAATAACACAGCTTGGCCTGGTAGGGGGAGAACTAGGGGGATGTAGCTACAGGGACAGTCTAACCTGGTGACCTACTAAGTCCACACACACACATTCACACACATACACACCCATGCTCTTCATTTTTTTTATTTTATAGCAACATGCTATCTCCTCAGAGGTGTACTGTAAAATTTATATAACTATTTAATTTACATTAAGCTATTTTATGTGTATTTGACTCAAATTTAATTTAATGTACAATACTGGAATTGTTTAGTGAAGGAACAGGCATTTAGTTAGGCTTTAATGAGTGTTAGCCATGGCCATGGAACCTAACCTCCTATTTCCTATAAGCCTTTAGTCTTGTCAACCAAGGGGTTTTTCAGGAACCTAACCCCTGTGGTTGGCGAAGGGACTACTGTATATAAATTTTCAGAAACAAAATATTAAAGGATATTTACTAGACTGTGATGAATATTAGCACCAAATTTATTTTAGATAATAGGAAAATGTAAAGGAAATATAGAAGTGAAATTTTCTGTGATTAACCTAGATAAATGTCTTGGGACAGTTTGAATTGTCAACATAAAAATTTTCATCATTTGGAAAACAACTGTGCTAGACTTTGTGAATATTGCTACTTACAAGTATGTGAGCAGCATACTCTTTAGTCCATCACTAATAAAACTGGAGGGAAATGTAGAATTTAATTTAAGTTATCTGGCTGAAACAGTTTATTTTATTTTTTTTAACATAACTTAGAAGGGTTCTGTAATAGTGATGTTTGTGAAGGATAATTTCTGGATCTTGTAAAATGATTTTGGCAAATGCCTACAGAGGACCAATTGGGTATTAGTTTGTAAACTGTCACGATACTAAATGTAAACAAATCTTTTTATTTGAAATTTGGATCAACTAACAAGAACATTGTGGTAATCATTCATCGATAGCAGTGTTTTATCTCTCCTGATAAGATGATTGCTAAGCAGCCTTTGTGTTGGCCAAAGGTATGGCTGCACTTAAGTACTTATAAACCTGAATTTTGGGGTGGAAAAACAAACCAAGGCCAATTTCATTAACAACATTTAATGCCTTGCCGAGATAGTTTTATAATTTACTTTTTGAATCCTAATGTCTGTTACTCTGGAAATTTTAAAATTATTAATACTGTAATATATTTCCCATTGTACTGTAGTGATTAGATCATCTGAAATCAGATTTAGTTAAGCGGTAAAAATTTCTTTTATAGAATTAGTTTGTGTTCTTCATTGGCAGCCTAATAACTGTTGAATTTATAAAAGACAAGACTTAATGTAGTTGAATATAGAACATGAGGTTATATAATACTCATTTCTCAACAGAGCTTTGGCACAAAAATGGCATCCTGACCATTTTGATGGAGAAGAGAAGAAAAAGGCTGAGAAGATGTTTATTGATATTGCTGCTGCAAAAGAGGTGCTAACAGATGAAGGTAAGTATAAACGCCTTAGTTAAGGACGTTCAGGTGACGGGCAAGTCGAAGGGAATGATTGAAACCCGTCTTTTGACGCATTCAATATTTATTGATGTGGTCAAAACCTGCAGACAACAAGGCGTTCATTAGTATTACATGGTGATCTATCTGATACATAATTAGTTAGTCTCACACAATTTATCTTAATTATAATTGATTATTGAGCATAATGACATGATACAAAGTTCATAACTCCATTAATCTTAACTACACTTCATTCCGTGTTGTCTTATTGCTCCAGATAAGGTAGCAACGAGTGGGCATAATTAGTCCACAATATTTCAGTATTGAGGTGTATGTCATTACTTTGGCTGTACTTACAAGTGCGGGTCAATGAGAACCAGTATGGTGTTCCAAGGGAAGATAGTTCTGTGTAAATTGTTTTAGTACAAAACTCGGCCAGGATTAGCAGTTGTTGTTCACCACTGCTAGCAGTGTTGATCCTCACAGCATCACTTGAGGGGGCAGTCTCCTGGAGTCCAGGTGGCCACACCGCCTTTCAAATCATACATTAGCAGAGTCATGATCTCTTCTCCGTAAACACTGCCCACCCCCTAATCTTTGTTGGGTAAGGCAGCAAAAACGTCAGCACTGACACTAGTGTTGACACCAGCTATGAAAACACTCCCGGCGATGCCAGCACTTACGCCAGTAGTGATGACAGTCCCGGTGATACAGAGTCCAGGTGGCCACGCCGCCGTAAGCACCGCTTATCTTTGTTCGGGTAAGGCAGTAAAACCGTCAGCACTGATGCCAGCGGTGAAAATACTCCCGGCGATGCTAGCACTTACGCCAGTGGCAATGACACTCCCGGCAGTAACCCCCCCCCCCGGTCAGCTGCCACATCTGTCGAGGTAACAGGTCGCATGGTGGGGGGATCACTCGAGAGGGCAATCTGTGTCATGAGATCCATGGCGCCCTCTCAGCGCTCACGCCAGTGGTGATGACACTCCGGTGGTAAACACCCCCCCCCCCCTCCCAGTCGCTACATCTGGTGTGGTAACAGGTCGCGTGTGGGGTGGGGGAGGCACATGGTTGTTGACACCAACGATAAAGCCAGCGGCGATAACAGTAAGCAAATCTTGGTGAATAATGAACAATTTACTTCTAGTTTTAAAGGCTTTACTAAAAATGTGAGAATTTCAATTAAGTATAAACAAAAAGAGAAGTCTTTATCATTAGTCTTGCACCCAGTAAAATTATTATATGGTAGAACTGTTTTAGAAACTTTATTTTTAATGATTTTTTTTATTATTATTTGTGGGTTTTATTTAGTCATCACACCTGTGATTTTTTTTTGCCATTTTTATTGACTAGCTTAGGATGTAATTTGGTAAAATTTTGTTTCGTATTTTATTAACTGTACCTAATATTCATATTTATTGCCTTGTATTTGCTAAAAAAAAGTTCAAAACTGAAATTCAAGAATCTTTCGTGCTCAAGGATCTGCATAGTTTGAAATTCATAGCGTGCTCCCTCTGCCCACGCAGTCATTGTCTCATGACCTCATCATCATCGCTCTCTGACCATTTTCAATGCTTGCTTGGGTTAGCCGTGATAACCTTTTGGCAGCTATCCAAGCTGCATGGTCTGTTACAACCACTTTCATCTGGAGTTTATCTACTGAGACAGTTTCTCCCAGCTTCTCCCGATGTCATTCTGGGTTTACCTCTAACTCTCCATCCCTCGATCTTCAAACTCGTGTATCTCTTGGGCCAATTGGTCTCCTCCAACTCTCTTCACATGCCCAGAATCTTAGCCTACTTCTACACAAAGCATCATCAATATCCAGCTGCCCTTTAAACCTTGAACAGGGTTTCCTATCTTTCAATGTGTGTCTATTTCCTCATTTTCATTTCAGTTTTCAATTTTACTTACCATATATTTCAGTGGATAAGACAACACTTGAATCATCAAAAAACCACCCCCAAACCAGGGGTCGTATTATAGGCCAGAAACAGAAACAAAAACCTCAAAATTCTGTACAAATTACCTTAATGATTTGGGTCAGCGAAGGTAGCTGGGGTCGTCAATATTTAAACAGCTGTTGTATTGTTTAAAATTTTTATTTCTCGCTAAAATCCCCATACCGATATGGTGTTAAACCAATGAAAGCATTGTAAAATAAAAATAAAAACATCACAAACATTTAAAGACCATCAAATTCACTAGAATCGTCTGAAGCAAAGAGCTCGTCATACACATCCTGAGTTTCATTGTTTACGTTGTCGTCATAAGGGTCCCAGTCCAAATCTGGTGCATCGGCTGCGTCGTCAGTGTCCCACAACAGATAATCCTCTGTCCCATCCATTGCATTAGAGATACCGCACTTTTTGAAAGATTTTATTTCAGTCTCTCTCACTTTATCCCATGCTTTGATCACAAAATCACACAGCACATCAAGTGATGCAGCACGCATAGCCCCACTTTTTGTAAAGGATTTTTCACCATCCATCATCCAATTATTCCATTTTTCACGCACATGATCTTTAAATGGCTTGTTCAGACAAACGTCCAGTGGTTGCAGTACAGGTGGTTTAGTAGTTTGCTAGTTTGGGGAGTCATCTTATACCACAGATATGAGCTAAAACCATGAAATTTAGACTGAAATGTGGGCCTCACCTTATCCGAAGGTCGCGTTATCTGCCGTAATATACAGTATGTCAACCTCTTCAACTACCCATGTTTCTTTGCAATACAGCAATAACACTTATGCTGGCTACATATTATAACTTAACTTTCAAGCAAGAAAAAGGTCTTTTCATCATCAGTAAAGGAAACTGCTGTCTAAACTCCTTCCAGCCACTTCTAACTCCCGCAACTGAGATAGCTTAACCCCAAGGCTTCAGGTCACGTTGCATGACATTTTGATCTTATGCGGGCATATTTGAATAAAAAGGGCAGGCCTGGCTAGAATATGTTTCACTCAATCACATTTTACAGACTCCCAGTCTCTTATCAGATTTTATGATGTTGGAATCTTGTCCTTGGTCTTACACTTCACCATATGTTTCTCACCTCCCCCAAGCACAAGTCTAGTCCAGTAATCCTGTGTTTTTCGTGGGAATTACGTTCCTGAAACCCCCGCGAAAAGCCAAAACCACAAATACTCTTTTAGGAATCACTGTACCTGTGGCCACCAAACAGCTCAGGTAGGTCATGCACTTAACCACGCCATGCTCTCCACTCACGGCCCAGTGGTCACACTGATCACTGATGCACTGTACCGGCATTTACTATCATCATTATTTGAAACTAATCATGTTGTCGTATAATAATGGAAAAATGTAAACACAGTTATATACAAAAAAAAATTAATTACAAGTAAATGAAAAATTTTATATTTCGCTGAGGTCGGCAACACCCGCATTGCCAGCCACTCCCTACTGTCCCGGCATCTGCCCGCCCTCACGCAGTCACGCCAGCCATCCAGTCCTCTTCCACCCATATTCCTCCACTTGAAGACTTGTATTCTGACCAAAGACACAAATGAATTGTCAATCTTCACCACATCTTGAGCGATAGCTCATACCACCTCTGAGCTTGTCCAATAAAACTGTTTTTTCCGTTAAGTTCATCACTATTCTTGATCTCTTGGTCACTTTAGTCTTTGCTAGTAATATTTGCCTTTGATGAGGCTGGCTTACGTCGCGGAGTCATGTGGAATGCACATGGGATGACAAACAGAAGAGGTAATCACAGTAGCGTTCACAGTACGGTATGCACGTGTGGACTGAGGCTTCTTGGAGCAGCGGGTGTCTGAGGCAGGAAAGGGTGGCGTCTGTTTGCCGCACCACGCACGAAATTAAAATTTTTGTTTTTAAAGAATATATATATATATATATATATATATATATATATATATATATATATATATATATATATATATATATATATATATATATATATATATATATATATATATATATATATATATATCAGATTGATGTACAATTTTTTTTTATGTACTGTATAACATAAAAACAAAGTGAGTTACAGTCTGCCCTTAACATAAGCGGGGGTTAGGTATCAGAGACACCCGTGAATGTTAAAAATCCGTGTACTTTTGCTGCCCCCCTAAAAAAACCCTGGCCCCCCCATGTCCTTATTTACCGTGTATACCTGTGTGTAGTTCGAGTTTTTAAGACCAAATTATTTGGCAAAAAATTGGAGGTCGACCTCTAAACGGGTAATAGTTTCGTTAGGTTGAAAAATATTTACCAGTAACTACCAGTAAACAATGGAAACGACGTACCAACGCACCACCAGCTGTGAGTGTCGGTACAGTTGCCAGGGCAGATCTCTTGCGTCATCATAGCAAGCCCAAAGTAACCAAATGCATGGTATGGTATGCACAGGACGATGTAAAACATAAAGTATTAATTTTTTAAAGTTTATTTATAGATACTGTACATAAATTTTTTTTCATTACATTTGAAACATCAATCTTTGTTAATTAAATTTGAAACAAAAGAAAACTACGATACCGTATTTTCATTAAAATATTACATCACAAGTATATTTTACCTTAACTGTGACTGAATGAATATAGGTATTCTCAGAAATAAATATGGAAATATAATATTTTTGCTGGAATGACGTACATATTACAGTGGAAAGTGGGATAAAATCATGAAAACAATGACTTTCGCTTTCTTTCGTTATTCAAAAGATTTTACCGTAATCGCTTTTCGAATGGTTTTCAGTTAAAAAACTGTTGTATTCGTACTGTATTACAATAATATTCTATCCTATCATTAGCCTTATAATCCCACAATTGAAAACCATTCGAAAAGCGATTACGGTAACATCTTTTGAACGAAAGAAAGAGAAAGTCATTGCTTTCGTCACAATTTTATCCCACTTCCACTGTAATACGTACATCATTTCAGCAAAAATATTACATTTCCATGTTCTCAGAAATAAATGGTAGTTTTGTTGAAACGTAATGTACAGTA